TTGTTTTTTTATTATAATGTATATATACAAAGATTAAGTAATGTATACAACGTAAAAGGAACAACAAGCGAATTTCGTTTGAATCCGTTAAATTGACCAATTGTTTCAGGTGTGTTTTCTATTTATTTATTTTTTTGTACGGAAATATTATTTACAAACAGCAACATTTTTTTGTTGTGATATTACATTTTTTTATCTAAAATTGCGCCCGCAAATAAAAAGTCGAATAAAAAGAAAAGTAAAAAAATGAACTATTTCAATTTCATATTGCCAAGAATCGCGTTTCCCTTTAAAACTTCGCCAATGGGAATAAATCGCAAAGTGGATACCACATTCGATTTTAATCTAATCGCTGTAATCGGAATAAAGTTCTTTTTAATTTCAATCGTTTGTGTAGATTCATTTTCGCGTGGTAACACTGTGATGGACGCATTCTCCGGTAAAGTTATGTGTTCTTGTTTATTTAAAACCGGGGTTGCTATCAAGGGTTGGAGGTGATGTTCGATACTTTGGTTTAATACTGGCGATTTTCGCAGCGTTGGAACTTCTTGGGAATCATCACCGCATTTCCCGAAGACGTCCAATCCTTTTAAGTTGTCTAAAATAGAGATTTTCTTTGGTTTTACTTCAATTTTTGGTTCAGGTACTTCCGCGGTTAACCTGCAAAAGACAAAATTAAAAATCGAGATTAAACTAAGATTAAAAAAACCCACCAATCACTAAATTTTTTGTAAGTTACTTTTGATCCATATTCTTCATAATCATATTTTGTCACAACCATGGACTGGAAGTGCTTACTTCGAGAGAGGGTTTTTCCACCTTGCCAAGGATATAAAATGGGGCTACAAAAATAAATTGACGTTAAAGAAAAATTAAATGAATCGTACGTACTTTTCTGGGAGATGAATATTTAACGATAAATGGCAAGGTGTTAAATATCGAATATCCGCATAAAGTCGTTCTTTGTATCCAGGGAAATTTGCATTTCCCCCGATTAATACGATATTATTCATGAGCGTTTGGCGCTCATTTTCGGGGCACAATTCAATACATTTCGCTACGGCTTCTGGAATCCCCATATATTGCATGCCTATGTTTGAAGGGCGCATTAAGAGTTCTGGTACAGTGAATCTTTCATTGTTTAAGTGGAGGATTTGGCAATTTTCTGGGAATTGTTTGTCGTCTGGATTTTGAACATACCTAAAAATTATTAATAATTATATATGGAAATGGAATTCAAAATTATCAAAATATTTTTCAAATAAAACTTGTTAAGAATTAAACAAGGAACAACTTTGATTGGCACCATTTTTTAAAATTATCAACTTTTTAATTTCCCCTGTGAATAGTATAAAAATGAAATTCAAGATTATCTTCTTTATTATTGTTTGTATCAAAACATTTTTCAAATAAAACTTGTTAAGAATTAGAC